TTCACGTGAAACTTTTCACTTCTTACTTTCACCCTAGGGGAAAAGTTACGTGATCGCTGCCCTGGAATCAGTGAGAGGTCTGTTCTTTTGCTCTGCACTGCTGCAATAAGTTAGAGTGAGACAAATATATATTTGTCTCACTCTAACTTATTGCAGCAGTGCAGAGCAAAAGAACAGACCTCTCACTGATTCCAGGGCAGCGATCACGTAACTTTTCCCCTAGGGTGAAAGTAAGAAGTGAAAAGTTTCACGTGAACTCGTAATCACGTAAGAACCTCCGCACAAGCATTCGTAACATGTTAAGTTTACGGATTTTTTGTGCGTTGACTTAAGTTTAAGTTTATGTACAGATATGGCCATTGTATTGTCAGTACTTAACATAAAAGGCTGGTTCTACATTAGTTGCACCGGTCCTAGGCTAATATTCATAATCCGATCTTATATTTAAGATCATCTTATGGCTCCTGCACATGGAACGCGATAATGCTTGCCGCGCGGCGGAAGTTCGCACGACAGCTAATCAATATGCTGCTTTCCATAATAACCTTCAAGCTCTTACGGAAAAACAACATATTGATTGGCTGTCGCGCGAACTTCCGCCGCGCGGCAAGCATTACCGCGTCCTGTGTGCAGGAGCCATTACACCACAGATGTCTATATTAAACTAGGGCCGGTATTCATAGTCGAATCTTATTTCAAGATCGTCTTAAATAATGTCTTAAGATGTGAATACGGCTCTGTGATTGGTTTATGACATCTTTAGTTTATGACATACTTAAGGATGCGTTCAGATTCCTCATCTGGGTGCACTCTATTACTAGAAACACTATAGTATATGTTACATATACAGCCAATCAATATGTTTTTTTCCGTAAGAGCTAGAAAGTTATTACGGAAAGCAACATATTGATTGGTTGTCGCGCGGACTTCCGCCGCGCGGCAAGCATTACCGCGTCCTGTGTGCAGAAGCCATAACTCAAATCGCCACCATCACGAGATGTCTCTAGCGTCAGTAAGTGGCTGAAATATTCACTAACAATCGGTTTACGTTTGCTGTTATATATGTGTGACTGTGCTCGCTATTGTATTGCAGTAGCTTTTGACATCGTGTTAATTTTATTCATGTATATAAATGTGACAACTTGTGATAGTTTTTAGTCGCTATTCAGCGACTAAACAAGTTTAACGCGTGTTTATATATACGCTTTTGCTGGGTTCCTGAACGGAAATAAATATATCCGCGGATCTCTGTCACTTGATTGTGCGCTCCCGCTTGTGATTGCTGAACAATTGCAAAATGGGATCATTGACAAGCAGGCAAAACGCTGGCGTCGAAGAAGTTGATATTATCTCCAACCATGCGTATAAATATCCTCCGCGATCCGGTACTAAATTTATTCTAACTACTATGAAACATTACTTTGTTATTTTACTCTTTGTACATATTATGACAAAATTCCTAAACTTGTACTTGATTTGCGATCTCTCAGAGCATTCAGTTTATTAATTCACAAAATCATTCCCGACAGGTTCTTATTTTGGTAGCCATTTTATAATGGGTGGTGAACGTTTTGACACACCTCAGCCTGAAGCCTATCTCTTTGGAGAAAACGCTGACTTGAATTTTTTGGGCAGTCGACCAACACCTGTATGTAGAGCATGAGATTTTTTTTTATGTAAAGTTTTCATGAAGAAAATTTAATTTACTGTTTTGTTCAGTATCTTTATTTTGTCTAATTTTATTGCTTACAGCAAAATATTTTAATGATTGTGTTTTGCTTTTATTGTAGTTTCCATATCCTCCACCACAACCCAATGATCCTACAAAAACATTAAAGAGTTTAGTAAACATACGAAAGGAATCCTTAAGGTTGGTTCGCAATATGGACCATATGTCCACCTCTTCACAGTACCATAATGGTAAACATTATGAGGATATTGACATCGACAAGAAACCCAATCGTTTCAATATCGAGTTTGTGTTTGACTGCGACGTGAGGTGTGCCATTACGATATATTACTTTTGCACGGAGGAGATCTCGACGAAGGGAGTCGCGTACGTAAATTAGAAGAGGTTCAAGCAAGATTTATACAGCTATGCAGGAGAACTCAACGTACAAAATATTTTCTTATATCCAGCTACATACCACGAGACTCATCCATGAACTCGGAAACGTATTATTATAAGAAAGGAGCGAATCAATTATTCTCGCAATCGACGCATATATTTGATCCAACGTTATACAGTGAAGAGGACTTGATATATAATGCGGACAGAGAAGTATTCAAAGCGCATTCGTACATTGTTTGCGATAAAGCTTGGTATTTCCTGACTGATCGACTATTTGTGTGTCTCTCTTTTTAAACTTGTAGATTATCCCAATAGCTATACATTGTGTGGCAGAAGAAGGATCGGACGATCCCAAGCAATCTCACACGACTATAGCTGTGGTCGAGAAACATTCTGACGGAACGTATGTGCTGAAAGCCCTTAAACAGAAACTCTACGTCGACGGTCTCTGTTATTTGTTACAAGAGATATATGGAATCGAAAATAAGAACACTGAGAATGCAAAGGTACAAGAAAATACTTCGGACTTGTACCTCCCTTGTGTTTTCTTCTTGTGATTTGAATCTTAGTTTCCTCTTTGCTTGCACAGCAACAAGGTAGCGACGAGGACACCGAGGACAACGGCTCTGAGTGCGTTATTTGCATGTGCGACGTGCGCGACACGTTAATCTTGCCGTGCAGACACTTGTGCTTGTGCAACGGATGCGCTGATTCCTTGAGATACCAAGCAAACAATTGTCCGATATGTCGCGCGCCGTTCCGAGCGCTTCTGCAAATTAGAGCTCTGCAAAAAGCAACCGGTACGATTATATCCAATCCGCCATTACCAGAAGTAAGTACACGGATATTATTAAAAAGATCACTTCTTTTGTGAATGCATTTTGCAACGATAAGATTCTTAGTCTCTCGCCGCGTTTACTTGGATTTATGAAACGAGAAAATATATTCTAAAAGTTTTTACAAAATATATTGAAGTAAAATAGTTTGGATACTTTCATTTTAGCAATCAATAAATAGCTATAAAATTAACATGACAAAGTCTGGAGAGAAGATAGATTAAAAAGGAAATTCATTACATTAATTTTACCATTAGTTTCGGTCTACAACCTCACTTTAAGCTTTAAGCTTTAAATAACTGGCCAACCATAGTCAATTATTCTCCTTACGTCTTAAGAATAATCGATTGTGACTGGTCAGTTGCTTACAACTTAAAGTTTAAAATGAGGTTATAGACCGACACTTATTGATTGAACAAAAGAAAAATTTTGGGACTATTCTACAAGTCTATTTGATGATTTGTATCATTTTATGACTTCAACATTTTGCAAGAATTTTTAGCGTGTATTTTCTCATTTTTGATGTTATCATTAATTAAGAGTTCTGCGGCAAAGAGCCAGGAATCTTATGTTTGAGATCTCAATGTACATTTCGTTTTTCTTTTCATTATTATTATTAATATTTGGCTGCTGTAAATTTCGCGATTGTATTCAGGGCGGCTGCGAGAATATTCCATCGGGCTACGAAGCGGTATCTCTAATAGAAGCTTTGAATGGGCCCTATACTCCACGAACCGCCATCATCGCGCCAGAATCTCCGGACACGCCCGATACAGATACAGCGAGTGCTATTCAAGCCGCTGAAACCTTAAATCGGTACGTATGATCGATCGACGTGTGATACTTTTACGATTTCTGGATATATGCATCAAAGCAGTACATCTGAAAGAACGTGACTCTTACAGCTCGGCCGAACGTACACCAGTTTCAAAACACATATCTGTTAAAGAAGTCGATATGTCGGCCAGATCCAGCACCGCTTGTCCAACCCCTGAATTCCAAATGTCCGTTTTATTGGTTAGAGACGAACATTCGGGCTCGCAAAAGGAACTGCACAATAGATCGCCAGCGATGCGAATCAAATCGATACATTCGCGCGATAAATCTAGCTTAAGAGCGCGCGACACACTGAGATTGGTCAACGAGGAGAAACCAGCTTCTTCATACGAAGTACGCTTACTTTCGTAGAAAAAAATTCTATGTGGTTTTCAGCATATATGTGAGACCACAGTTGCACGGATAGTTTTCGATTTGCTAAATCTCGATTGTATCAACTAAATAACCTATCTAATAGTTAAATCATATATCTGTCTTTGTTTTTCCTCCAAAATAAACGAAGACACATGTTAGCTTATTATTTAGTTGGTGCAAGTGAATCTAAAATTGGTATCACGATTAATAATAATAAAGTAAACTCACGATTAATAATAATAAAGTAAACTCGTAGACAGAAGAAAAGAAAATTTCTCTGACCAAAGTTAACTCTAAACGATGTTGTTTGCAACTAGTCTTAACTTTTATACTTTTATACATACTTTTATACTTTTATTTTATAATTTACATTTAATAGAATCTTTATTCTGAACTCTCTTTTCACCGATAAGAGTGCTTCTAAATGTAATTTAGTCTTCCAATTGGGTTATAAATACATTTAGCGATAAAAAAGAGTTCAGAATAAGGCCTAGATTTACATAGTATCAAATGTATACTTATAATTAAGTTGCATTTTACATTAATCGTATGCGTTTGTGTTTAAAGAGCCAAGGGCAAGACGAAGACAGCGAAGCGGAGAGATTGTCACCGTTGTTGGATGCAGCCACAAGCACTGAGACATCGGACATACATTCCCATAGAATATGCGACATCGATATGGACGATGAGATTCAGAACACGGAGAACCTAAATGACGCGGAAATTGATTGCCACTCGTATTAGGAAACAGTCGAGAACGTATTTTTACATATAGTATATATCATTGTTAAGTTTCGTATCATTTAAATGATCTTTTATCTTTCGTGTAAATCGCGTAAGTAAAAATCGTGTTATTTATTGGAAGACTCTAGACTGCTCGCTGCGGCTGTAATTTCGGTTCGTTAAATCGTAAGTGAAGAAAGATCCACATGAAACGTGTGATACGTGGAGCCACTTCTTCTGATATACGGTGCATAATGTAATGATCATCTTTCTTTTTATCTGTCTCCCTTTAACATAATCTATCACGGTTGCAGTGATTGGCCCAGAATCTCAATACAAAGATATTTTCTATTCTGTACAACTTACCATTGTAAAAAATTAGGAAACACGAAGAAATTATATTTGTTACAATTTCTTATGCTTTAATTAACCGTTAGAATTGAGAATAATATGTATGCATGTGTATACTTGTCAAATTGTGAAGACTGGGACAGTACTTGTAAAGGATAAAATGTTGTGGTGTAGCATTTTTTAGACGGTAAAATGTAAAATTATATATGGAATTAATCTACGTGAAAATTAACATTAGATAATAAAGGTGCTTCCATTTTATTTGGTGTCTAAATTTTGTTTCCGTGAAAAATATATTTAAGTACGATTTAAAATAATACGACAAAATTCGACGAGATGACGCCTAGTGTATATCATGTTGATTCGATCAAGGTCACCGACTCGAACTTGCATGTAAAGTAAATGTCGCAGCGACTAATAAGAAAGCACAATCAGCTTTACATTTTTATCAATAAATAATTGATGGTTATTAACAAAATGAACGTTATATAAAACTGGTTTGTCAACAATTGAAAAATATAATAGGAAATAGGATAATCAATATATATCAATTATATGATTTTAATGGGATATTAGATGATACCGGTTGTAACAGTAATTGAACTAAAAAATGAATAATGTTCTAATTGCTGAATAATAGACTTAATTATTGAATGCTCATTAAATAATATATATTACAAACTAATATAAAGAAATATTTTTTAACAAAATTCTAAAAAAATTCTTTTTTAGAAATATTAATTATTCTCAAAAGGACACAGAATATTTGGGCAACAGCTACTGTGACTTATTATGAAAATAAAACTTTGTTTCCTTCTCTTCCAAGAGTCGTTGCCGCAATGTTAATGCTCGTGTATATAGGTCTGTTATTATCTCTTTTACTTAGACGTAACGATGTTATCGTTGACAGGATTATTTCAATTTTAGCTGAACTCAACAAAGGTAATTCATATTGACCGTTTTAATTATTTATTATATTTTAATCTTACCTATTTTTATTTTATTTTATGGTTTTTTTATAGTTATGGCTACTTCCTAGTATTAATTTGACTTCTTAATATTAGTCGGGTAACGGTCTTGTCAGCTATAATACTGCGAATAACATCCATGTCAATTTATTAAGGTATTTAATTAATTCTTTTACTTGTAATGCGTTCGTTTTGTAAACCTTGAGTTTTTTATATATCACTGAAGAGGGTTCATGATTGAGCCGAAACGTTTGATTATTCATATCGAGTATTATATTCAATAAATATTGCTCTATTTCCTAACACAAGGAAAGTTTTACCCATATGATACATAGCACTATTAATCCTGTGCTTGAACTCGAATTAGCCCTTTTTTTCTATTATTTAATTGATATCATTGTTATCGAGTTCTTATTTTCTTACTCTTAATATATTACTAATGTTTCAATCTCTCATTAAGATAAATGTTCAATTAATGGGAAATTTATCTTAGTAGTTTCTAAACACATTTTATCTCTAGGTTTCCTAGGAAATAAAAGTATTCAGCTTTTTTGCAATTATTTTATTTAATCACATGTTCAAAATGTTTTGTACCAATTTAGGCTGTAGCAAGTGCCTTCCTGAATTTTTTCCACTCTTCGAGCGGTCCATGTTCAGGCAAATACTTGACATTGCAACCATCTGGAGCAAGACGGCCTGCAGCTTTCAGTTCCTCGTATTCAACACGGTCGTACTTCGTGAAGCCCCATTTCTTCGATACATAGATCTTTTGACGACCAGGGAACTTGAACTTGGCACGTCGTAAAGCTTCGATAACGGCCGCCTTATGGCGATCAGAAGAACGAACGCTCATGATAGGCTGACCGATATGCACTCTAGCTACAGTGCCCTGAGGCTTGCCGAAAGCACCTCTCATTCCCGTTTGGAGCCTATAAAAGATCACTCCAAGTTACAAAAGTTCACCAAAGATAATGCATGCCCAATTGTTGAGGCAAATCAAGGACATAATCTGACTATATCTGTTTCTACCAACTAGTTACCAATTGCATTTCTCATTAGTCAGAATTGACAAATGCGATTGGTCAATTCCATTGGAATAACCAGCTGATTAAGCTAAACAAAATTGGTGGAAACAGGTATCTGTACTATAAATGCTTTAAAGCATTAAAATGCAGTCTATATTAATCATATCATATATGTTACAGAAGGTTTCTAAACACCAGACAAACTACATCCTAGATTCACACGTTTGTTTTACTCAATTCATACCTATCAGCTCCAGCACACGATAACATCTTATTGATGCGGATTACATGGAAAGGATGCAGTCTCATACGAATGTGGAATTGATCCTTTCCAGCATTTTTCACCATATATTTGTTTGCGCAAATTCGCCCAGCTTCCAAAGCTTCAGAGCTGAGCTGTTCATATTCATCAGATACCAAATGTACACATAATGGAAAATCTTCAACAGAAGCTTTCTTTTTGCCAAGATCGAAAATACGGATTTTCGGATCGGGGACACCACGACAGAATCTGGATTTTGGATACGGCTTGTTCTTGCAGTACCGATAACTATGAAAATTAATTAAAAAGAATAGTGCATTTACATAAATTTCTATAGAAAGAACATTTTATAAATATAAAGAACATTTTTAATATTGATATATACTTATGAATATAATAATTACATATTTTTAATGTATCTTATATCAAGCTATGTGATAAATTGCACAATATAACGCAATCGCGTTTTAATATGTGTATAAAGCATGGTGTGAAGGTTCACATATGAATGTACGAACTGCAAGGTAACTGCACAACACTTCCATGTGACACACCTCACATAACTTTATATAAAAATAAAGAAATGTATTATCAAAGTTGTTGGAGTGAGTTATAAGTAGTTAAAAATATAAAAATATAAATATATAACATACCATCTCGCTGGTCGGCGCCCCATCTTAACTTATAAATTAAAATTTGTATTAATATAACAAGATTGTATTAAATGCTGGAATTATGTTAACCGTTGAACACAGAGAAAATTCAACGAATGCAATATGTAAGTTAATATTTTATATGTATTACGATGTTAAGGGATTACACGGATAAGAAAACGCATCACTTACTGACGCAAAGCTAGACGAGATGCGAAAAGGAAATTTCAACGAATGAGCTATACTATGGTGGAAATATATAAAGGTGCCTTTATATAGGAGCATCAAGCGTCGAGCGTTAAAGCGGGAGCTAATCAACGTGCCACTTTCCGCAAGAACTACAAGTATACTTCTGGGACCTGATACGTTGATTGGCTAAAGCTGCGGGTCCAATAGTCCGTAAACATATCCGTATCCGTAAGTCCCGAACCACAATAAGAGTGCTGTCCAGTTGCGTACACTGTTACACAAAACCAGTTTATTGGTTGCATATTATCTTACAAGATATTTTAAATAATATGTGACCAATAAGCTGGTTTTGTGTAGATGTGTGTCAAGATGTGTTAAGCAATTGGAAAGCATCCTAGGTGTAGTAAGCTTTAAGCCTTATAAAATTGACCAATCACAGTCGATTATTCTCCTCAAATTTGACTGTGACTGGTCAATTTTAAGGCTTAAAGATTACTACATCTATTGTGGATCGGGACTAAAGGCATAATGCACAACGCATAATGCTAGATTCACACTGAACGCGATTAGCGACGAGCGATGACCGATATCCAATGAGAGCTCTTATTTCTTTTTAAAGCAATATTCTCATTGGATATCGCTCATCGCAAATCGCGTCCAGTGTGAATCTAGCATAAGAAAATTGATCAATCAGAATTCTTATTTTTATTGCCATGATGAAAATGAAGGACTTTGATTGGTCTATTTTTACATGCATTGTGCATTATATCTTTATGGAAGAATATGTGCTCTCCGCTTAATGGTTCCTGCACACAGGACGCGTAATGTTTACCGCGCGGCGTAAGTTGATGCGACAGCCAATCAATATGCTGCTTTCCGTAATAACCTTCTAGCTCTTACGGAAAAACAACATATTGATTGGCTGTCGCACAGACTTCTGCTACGTGGCAAGCATTACCGCGTCCTGTGTGCAGGAGCCATAAGGGCCTTTGCAGAATGGGCGCATTCAGTAGAAAAAGCGCTCAGTGAGCAATCAACGATTATTGGTTCTTGCTATTAGATCCCTAAATCTAGACCAATTACATTGACAAATTACTCAACTGTTGTGCAACTGTTGAGTCTGCTGAATGCAGCCAATGCCAGGCAACAGGCAATAGGAACAGGCAATAGCCAATAGGAACAAGGAATAGAAATATATGACCAATCAGAATTTCTATTCTCTGTTCCTATTGCCTGTTGCTTGGCATTCTTCAAGGGCTCTAACGCTCGACGCTTGATGCTCCCATGTAAAGGCACCTTTATATATTTCCACCATAGTATAGCTCATTCGTTGAAATCCTTTTCAAATTTAGTCTAGTTTTGCATTAGTAAATGATGTATTTTCTTATCCGTGTAATCCCTTAACATCGTATACATATAAAATATTAATTTACATATTGCATTTGTTGAATTTTCTCTGTGTTCAACGATTAACATAATTCCAGCATTTAATACAATCTTGTTATATTAATACAAATTAGTAAGTGATGCATTTTCTTATCCGTGTAATCCCTTAACATCGTAATACGTATAAAATATTAACTTACATATTACATTCGTTGAATTTTCTCTGTGTTCAACCATTAACATAATTCCAGCATTTAATACAATCTTGTTATATTAATACAAATTAGTAAGTGATGCATTTTCTTATCCGTGTAATCCCTTAACATCGTAATACGTATAAAATATTAACTTACATATTACATTCGTTGAATTTTCTCTGTGTTCAACCATTAACATAATTCCAGCATTTAATACAATCTTGTTATATTAATACAAATTTTAATTTATAAGTTAAGATGGGGCGCCGACCAGCGAGATGGTATGTTATATGTTTATATTTTTATATTTTTAACTACTTACAACTCACACCAATAACTTTGATAATACATTTCTTTATTTTTATATAAAGTTATGTGAGATGTGTGACATGGAAGTGTTGTGCAGTTATCTTGCAGTTCGTACATTCACATGTGAATCTTCATACCATGCTTTATACACATATTAGAACGCGATTGCGTTATATTGTACAATTTATCACATAGCTTGATATAAGATATAGTTAAAAATATGTAATTATTATATTCATAAATATATATCAATGTCAAAAATGTTCTTTATATTTATAAAATGTTTTTTCTATAGAAAGGACCTCGCATAAAACCTATTGAAAATGGTTTTCGGTCAAATTGGCTGAAATTTCACTATGTTATAGTTTTCGCCATGTTGATAAAAAGTTATCATTGCACCAAGTCCCAAAAGTCAATATTTCCCAAGATATAAAGGGTCACAGTAGTGAAATATGGTCATCCGCAGTAGTAAGACGTATCTTATAAGTATAAGTGATACGTTAATATTTATTCACAAAATAAATAAAAATCGATTTTTACATATATATATGTAATAAATATTTAGTTCCGCAATATATATGTATATACAGGGTGGGGCAAAAGTATCGGCCCGGTGAATATCTCGAAAAATATAAGTTTTACAAAAAACTGTTTCAGATCTTAAAAAGATCTATTGTACCAAAAACCATGATTTCACTTGGGATCAAGCCAAAGTTTTACATGAGAAACGTTATTACATGAAACGCCTGATATCAGAAATGATCTACATTAAATTTCAAAAGCATAAACTCAATTCTCAAAAGGACACAGAATATTTGGGCTACTGCGACTTATTATGAAAATAAAACTTTGTTTCCTTTTCTTCCAAGAGTCGTTGCCGCAATGTTAATGCTCGTGTATATAGGTCTGTTATTATCTCTTTTACTTAGATGTGACGATGTTATCGTTGACAGGATCGTTTCAATTTTAGCTGAGCTCAACAAAAGTAATTCATATTGACCGTTTTAATTATTTATTATATTTTAATCTTACCTATTTTTATTTTATTTTATGGTTTTTTTATAGTTATGGCTATTTTCTAGTATTAATTTGAACTTCTTAATATTAGTCGGGTAACGGTCTTGTCAGCTATAATACTGCGAATAACATCCATGTCAATTTATTAAGGTATTTAATTTATTCTTTTACTTGTAATGCGTTCGTTTTGTAAACCTTGAGTTTTTTTATATATCACTGAAAAGGGTTCATGATTGAGCCGAAACGTTTGATTATTTATATCGAGTATTATGTTCAATAAATATTGCTCTATTTCCTAACACAAGGAAAGTTTTACCTATATGGTACATAGCACTATTAATCCTGTGCTTGAACTCGAATTAGCCCTTTTTTCCTATTATTTAATTGATATCATTGTTATCGAGTTCTTATTTTCTTCCTCTTAATATATTACTAATGCTTCAATCTCATTAAGACAAATGTTCAATTAATGGGAAATTTATCTTAGTAGTTTCTAAACACATTTCAGTTATTTCTAGGTTTCTTAGGAAATAAAAGTATTCAGCTTTTTTGCAATTATTTTATTTAACCACATGTTCAAAATGTTTTGTACCAATTTAGGCTGTAGCAAGTGTCTTCCTGAATTTTTTCCACTCTTCGAGCGGTCCATGTTCAGGCAAATACTTGACATTGCAACCATCTGGAGCAAGACGGCCTGCAGCTTTCAGTTCCTCGTATTCAACACGGTCGTACTTCGTGAAGCCCCATTTCTTCGATACATAGATCTTTTGACGACCAGGGAACTTGAACTTGGCACGTCGTAAAGCTTCGATAACGGCCGCCTTGTGGCGATCAGAAGAACGAACGCTCATGATAGGTTGACCAATATGCACTCTAGCTACAGTGCCCTGAGGCTTGCCGAAAGCACCTCTCATTCCCGTCTGGAGCCTATAAAAGATCACTCCAAGTTACAAAAGTTCACCAAAGATAATGCATGCCCAATTGTTGAAGCAAATCAAGGATATAATCTGATTCTGGATATGTCTGTTTCTACTAACTAGTTACCAATCGCATTTCTCATTAGTCAGAATTGATAGATGTGATTGGTCAATTCCATTGGAATAACCAGCTGATTAAGCTAAACAAAATTGGTGGAAACAGGTATCTGTACTATAAATGCTTTAAAGCATTAAAATGCAGTCTATATTAATCATATCATATATGTTACAGAAGGTTTCTAAACACCAGACAAACTACATCCTAGATTCACACGTTTGTTTTACTCAATTCATACCTATCAGCTCCAGCACACGATAACATCTTATTGATGCGGATTACATGGAAAGGATGCAGTCTCATACGAATGTGGAATTGATCCTTTCCAGCATTTTTCACCATGTATTTGTTTGCGCAAATTCGCCCAGCTTCCAAAGCTTCAGAGCTGAGCTGTTCATATTCATCAGATACCAAATGTACACATAATGGAAAATCTTCAACAGAAGCTTTCTTTTTGCCAAGATCGAAAATACGGATTTTCGGATCGGGGACACCACGACAGAATCTGGATTTTGGATACGGCTTGTTCTTGCAGTACCGATAACTATGAAAATTAATTAAAAAGAATAGTGCATTTATATAAATTTCTATAGAAAGAACATTTTATAAATATAAAGAACATTTTTAATATTGATATATACTTATGAATATAATAATTACATATTTTTAATGTATCTTATATCAACCTATGTGATAAATTGTACAATATAACGCAATCGCGTTCTAATATGTGTATAAAACATATGTCTAATATGTCTAATATGTGGTGTGAAGATTCACATGTGAATGTACGAACTGCAAGGTAACTGCACAACACTTCCATGTGACACGTCTCACATAATTTTATATAAAAATAAAGAAATGTATTATCAAAGTTGTTGAAGTGAGTTGTAAGTAGTTAAAAATATAAAAATATAAACATATACCATCTCGCTGGTCGGCGCCCCATCTTAACCTATAAATTAAAATTTGTATTAATATAACAAGATTGTATTAAATGCTGGAATTATGTTAATCGTTGAACACAGAAAATATTCAACGAATGCAATATGTAAGTTAATATTTTATACGTATTACTATGTTAAGGGATTACACGGATAAGAAAATGCATCACTTACTAATGCAAAGCTAGACCAAATTTAAAAGGAAATTTCAACGAATGAGCTATACTATAGTGGAAATATATAAAGGTGCCTTTACATGGGAGCATCGAGCGTCGAGCTTTAGGGCCCTTGAAGAATGCCAAGCAACAGGCAATAGGAACAGAGAATAGAAATTCTGATTGGTCATATATTTCTATTCCTTGTTCCTATTGGCTATTGCCTGTTGCCTGGCATTCTGCAAGGAGCTTTATGGCTTCTGCATACAGGACGCGGTAATGCTTGCCACGTAGCAGAAGTCTGTGCGATAGCCAATCAATATGTTGTTTTTCCGTAAGAGCTAGAAGGTTATTACGGAAAGTAACATATTGATTGGCTGTCGCATCAACTTCCGCCGCGCGGTAAGCATTACCGTGTTCTGTGTGCAGGAACCATTAAGCGGAGAGCACATATTCTTCCACAATGCATGAGAAAATAGACCAATCAAAGTCCTTCATTTTCATCATGGCAATAAAAATGAGAATTCTGATTGATCAATTTTCTTATGCTAGATTCACACTGGACGCGATTTGCGATGAGCGATATCCAATGAGAGTATTGCTTTAAAAAGAAATAAGAGCTCTCATTGGATATCGGTCATCGCTCGTCGCTAATCGCGTTCAGTGTGAATCTAGCATTATGCGTTGTGCATTATGCCTTTAGTCCCGATCCACAATAGATGTAGTAATCTTTAAGCCTTAAAATTGACCAGTCACAGTCAAATTTGAGAAGAATAATCGACTGTGATTGGTCAATTTCTTAAGGCTTAAAGCTTACTACACCTAGGGTGCTTTCCAATTGCTTAAAGCGTCTTCTACAATGGCAGTAGGAGTAGTAGTAAGAAATAAGCAGTAAGTAAATAGACCAATCACAATCGATTATTTTTGAAACGTGAGAATGGAATTGGTCAATTTGCTTACTGCTTATTTCTTACTACTACTCCTACTGCCATTGTAGAAGACGCTTTACACGCTTGACACACACCTACATAAAACCAGCTTATTGGTCACATATTATTTAAAATATCTTGTAAGATAATATGCAACCAACTGGTTTTGTGTAACAGTGTACGCAACTGGAAAGCACTCCTATTGTGGTTCGGGACTTACGGATATGGATATCTTTACGGACTATTGGACCCGCAGCTTTAGGCAATCAACGTATCAGGTCCCAGAAGTATACTTGTACTTCTTGCGGAAAGTGGCACGTTGATTGGCTACCGCTTTAACGCTTTTATCTAAAGGTATCTTCATATATTTCCACCATAAGCTATACAACCAATAAACAGTTTCAACAATTGTTGGCTGTAAAAATTTCATACCAAGTCTCTGAGCATTTCATTCGAACGATTGATCATCGAATGGATTCCCAAAGAAATTCTAGGGTGAAACGAACGCGCATTGGAGGAAATTCAGAAAAAGTCGAAGTTAGAAGTCTAGTAATATATAGAAGTCTGTGATTGGATATTGGATGTCGGACGCAATGTGAATCCTCTATATGCCATTTTTCTAGACGCAACAGCCTATACAATATTCAAGCAATTTTCATCCTAGAAAAAGTTTTTAAGGATCCAACAATTCTCTGATTAATCAGATATTTGACAAACTCATGATACAAGCTCTCTCTCAAGAAGAGTAGTATTAGCTTTATATTTAAAATTGCAATATTATAATTATGTCTATGGAATATAATGTACAATTTTTTATAAAAGGATATGCATGTAATACAATGTCCACCCATGAAATTTGTTGTTCTTAAACAAACTTACATTGTACAAAAGAACAAATGCACTTGAATATGCAATGTTAATTATATTAAATTATCAAGTCTATATATTAATAATATGCATTGGCATAATTTTATTATACATTTAATGCGTTATCAAATTATAATACATTCCTCTTGAAATATATTTACAAAATAAATGTTCTAATGTGGCATTATATATATTTACAAATCTAAATTCCTTCATTTTATAAAGAACAGTTCATTTTACTGAATCTATATATATATATAAATTACAAGAGAGCTATTTAAAAAATTTCTTCAATTGGAAAGTTTAGTATGTTTTATATATGGAAAGACAGTATACTACACAATCTCCACCACACTTGTTAGAAGTGCTCACTAAGTATAATTTTGGTTTAGTTATTTACTCAGAATCCACTCTGATATATACAGGATTCTTCTTACGCATTTTATATCATAATTTATACTCATAAACTCTACCTGGTTTGTATGAAACTCGATTTACACATTTACTCTTATATTACGAGGCACACTGTACAAAAAATACAAGAGCCTATTTATCTAAAAGACTTCAAATCTGTCTTTATATATATTTGTTCTTTTGACTCCCACCGAAGACATCTCTCTCCGATTTTTGAAAATCTTGGCTAATCTATTTTACATGTGTCCATCGTTCGTGAAAAGCCGTATTCGCAGTGGCCTAATCCTTATAATGTTCTATTCTAATTTGTCACGTAAACGATCGTTCAAGTCAACCGTCAAATATATACATAGATATCGAGTTTACACAGAAAAAAAAAAAAGAAAGCTTGTATTTTCGCCCTTTCTAGCGTCAAGAACAATTGTTTACCGTGTTTGTTCCGCACAAGTTTGAGATTACACGGTGCACACATATAAAGTAATTTTCTCCGTCAACAAAAACAAGCACAAGAATGAGAGGCAATTGGTAATGACAATGATAATGATGATGATGTTTCGTGAACGATATGTGCTGATAGAAGGTAACATGTGTCGATTGTTTGGCAGTTAGAGATATGCAGTTATCCCCCGTAAAATGACGAACATTGACTGTATTAACAATGTGGCGGTAAGAAGCTATTTTAATTCCTGTCATGCTGCTCGATCACTTCGTAGATCACCATGAGGTAGCTCAAGACTAACAGGTTACAAAACGGCTTAGGTAACTACGTTCAGATAAAACGGACAGAATAAAGAATACGACACCGCGATAGGGAACCCCGGTATATGTGAAAGACTATATGTGGACGTACATGGTATTACGAAATCATTGTATGGTTGTGTAAAAATAATCGACACTGAGAAAACGTGACGGCAGCACGCCGGTAGGTAAAAAATACGTCGAGGCGCATTATTAAAATATCTGTTGTAATATAATGTAACAATTTCCAAACGTACGACGGTATGTACACGTACACTGACGAGGAATGATTCTGAATCACGCTAAAAATAGTACCTCCATATATATCCGCTAGTGACTTCTAATTTCGACAATATATCGCGATAATATAATTTATGTACTGTCGCCGTTGACTATGCATATGCTCTCCATCTTGCCTTTCTGGGCAACGTACTCCATGCTATTTACAACTCTCACAGAGACTTCGATTCGCGCTGCTAAGTCATACGTTCCCGCGGCTGGCAGCACAGCGTGTAACTTTACGTTATTACTTGCGCGCGCTTGAACGTTGGAGTGAATTGACGAGTGGCCAGCGTACCTATAATACGGCGAAGCTTGTGGCGAATACAACTGAGACTTGATATTTGGAAGATGAGTTTCACTGCAACAAGAAAAACGATTAGAGTAATGTACGGTTGTTTTTATGACCTTAAAAGAAAAAGAATCGATGAACTCGTTCAATAAATTTGTAAAACCAAAATTTGCGAAATGACAAATAGTATATTAAATAAATTGATTAATTAATATTTTAGCCATTAGAGCTCAAAGAATTTGCAGATTTTCAGATGCTCATATTTTATGTAATTTCTGTAACTAAAAACTGAAGAAACGACTCTTTTGCTTCCAAAGTACACATATTTAATAAAATTACGACTATTACGATACGATGTCTTTGTTGTCTTACCTACTAGTACCTATCGTACTTATTTTAACATCCACTGACATCTCCGAGTGGTTTTGCAAATATACTGCTACAGGGATGATGCACAATCGATTCTGTTGGAAATTGTGCACGAGTTGCCTCGCATGACTCAGAGAGAAAGTGATTAAACTTTTCAAGCATTCTGCTTCCCACGTGGGATCCTTGAGAGGCACGATTACTACGTTCGGTACGTTTCGCTCCGGCCCGAAGATCCTCAAGCGAGCGCCGTACTCGTTACGCGTAATACGTGGTTCTTTGGGGTGTTTGTAAGTCTTGTTTAGATACTCCAATTCAAGATGATGTTGTCCGAAGGCCTTCCGGGTAACTACGCCACTTTCCGTCACGTTGGCGCACCATCTGACGATCAACGTCGAATTCAACGCCATGGTGTCCGATACAGGATTGTGCTCGACGTTTTGTTGTGACTGGAACTGCTGTACATCGCTTGCGCTCTCGTTCATGTCTAACGGCTGAATGTGACGTCTCTGTACAAAGTTGACGAATGGATAATCGTCGATCGACGTCGCATCGCTGTCGTCGGCGGTTAAAGACACCTCGGAGATGACCGACTCATCGTCGGTCTTCTTCTTCAGCTTCAAAGTCAAGTGAAATACTTCCTGAGGCTGCACTCTTATACTCGACGGTAGAACGGAGGAACGAAAGGCGAACCACAAAGTGCTCTGCAGCGACATTTTGGACAGCATAATCTCGTTTATAGATGGATCGTGAACCTGATTTGTGTTCTTGATGGACATTATCAAATTCAACGTCGGCGAGTCGTCCTTGAACAGCCCGCTTCTGGAGGCAACAGCGCTGATCTGTATTGAATCGAGTACTGTCAGCTGCCAGGTATGCCGGCATAAACGATGCTTCAACGCGGCCTTTGCCTCGACGCTTTCGTAGTAAAAGAGCAGATCTAATCTGTGGGTGCCCTTTTCGTGAGGTGCTTGCACCCAAAGCGGCAGTTCGTGAGTTTTACCGATATTCAATACACCGTTCTCGGAGACTGGTAATACTATCTTTGTGACCGATCTACTGTTCTTCTTGATCGTTGAATCTATAGGTAGAGCATACCATTGTCATATTTCTTACGTTACTCAATGAAGCATTCCAGTAAATATTAAATAAAGGATACATTAATACTATAATTTCCGACTCAACAATGTAATATAACCCATGTACATAACAGTTGCAGTTAAGTGAAATATAACATTAATATAATGTTAATATAATTAATGTTACTGTTGGTTGGTGTTTACTGGAATTTGACGATAGCAACCAGATAGATAGAACAATGATATAAAGACACGATCCTTTTGTCCATGTAAACAAAACGATGATATCAATCCTGGAAATGCTCACCTTCGTTTTTATCGACATCCGAATTTTCTAACGTGAAAAGTTTGGCGTCGGTGCATGCGATGTAAATGTTCGTCAACGGAGCATTACCCACGTTCTTTAACGTCACTTCCACTCTCTGTATCTCGCCGCACAGCATCTCTGGTGATAACTTCGTGAAGAGGATCTGCGAGGAAAAGTATCCGCGTTTAAATTTATCCTATGAAACGCTAAAGAAAATATCTTGATCTCATGAAAGAAAATTGTACCTGCATAAACGGCGCCTTCTCGATCACATTCATCTCAAGTCGATAGTCCTTCCCGTACATATTCATGCCGGGCTTCTCCTTGACATTCTTCAATTTCGCTGGTATGATCTCGAACAATCTCTTACCGGCAATAGTGATAGCAGAGTTTGCGACCGGCGGGTCATTCGTCGCTTGCACCGGATTGGACAATTTGTAACTCAAACCTAAAATCTTCAATTCTCCCACTCGCCTGGGTGTGAGGGACAGCACAATATTCTGCTTGCACGTTGGTTGTAATAAAATCGTGTTGATGACGTCCGAATCGACCGGACTGTTGCTCGTCTCCGTCTCGTTTGTAATGATATCGTTGTTGCAGACGAACGACCACAGTAATGTCACGTCTGACAACGGTAGCGGTACGTGTAACGGATTGTGCAATTCGATGGAATAATGTAACGGTTCGCTCAAAACCGCATTTGGTTTCACGGTGTTGTTACTCGTTCTGGAATATAGTGCGATCGTCGGCTTAAATATCATAGGGGGCGAACCTTGAGCCTCGGTGATCAGTAATTCCTCCATTTTCGACCATTTCGCTTCGTCCGTCTCCTCGACGCCGAACGTAACGTGACTCGCTGGAATATTGCTTTTGGTTTGTTCGCCTAATGGACCGTACAGCACTTTAATACTGTTGCTATCTAATAATGGTAAAGGTAAAATAGGAAGTCCTTTACAAGTCACGCCGTTCTCCTGTAACAATAACTGTAATACCGTCGTCAATGCTACGTTCGACAGAAGAAACCGTTTTGCAGCTGTTGTGAAATTCGTGAATCTGATTGATATGTGCTCTTAATTTTGGCCGAAATCTGATCAAGAACATATACCAATAAGCCTCACAAATTTTACAACAGTTGAAAAGCAGGTTTTTCTGCTGAACACAACCAATACCTAACATTAGGTTTGCTTTCCATTGCTGAACTGGCTGTATTAACTTGCACCAGTTCTTTTCTCCTCCTTCTCTAAGTCTCAACCGTGTACTTGTTTTTCTTTAAGTTTCGTAAATGTAAGTAACTAGTTCAGCAATAAAAAAACAGACCTTATTCCAGCGTTAATTTTTTGTGACTGTATATAATATACATATTCAAAAATTCGTCGTTATTATGTGCACTTACATTGTGAGTATGTAAAAATTCGCGCAGGAACGCGGCCTGTTGCGGAGCGGATTGCTTGCTAGAGGCATTAAGTAACTTCTCGAATGCTTTCACTGCGTCGGAAACTTGTTTTAGGGATGCGGCCTGCCTGCCGATCGTGAAATGAATGTGATCCTCAGCCAGGGACCAACCTCTTCGATGGTAGACCTAGTGTCACGTGTTATTCGTGATATACACTGATCATTCCTTTCTGCGTTGTTTTACACTTACTTGATACGCTTGCTGATAGCATCTCAGCGAGTGTTTCCTCTGACCAGCTTTAGAGAATCTATGTCCAGCTAGGACCGCGTGGAAGGCGTATTTACGCATCATCTTCGGGTTGATAAAGCAGTAGGCGGCTTGCTCAAGCAACAAGGCCGAGCGCAGATCCGAATCCTCGCTGGTCATTCGTATCAACTGCTTCGCAGCTTCTCCGTATAGTCCTCGACCCTTAAGGCATTCGGCGCTAAGCAGCGTGGCTCTCGTTGCAAATTGAGGCATCTTGCAACTATTCGCGTAAGTTAATATCGCGTCATCCATATATTCGATAGTCTTCCTATTCGTCTCGCCTTGCATGAAAGCGCTCAGAGCAGCCATCTCTAGAGCGCCCGCATAATATACCCAGGCTTGATCCGCTGCGAAGTCACGCTTCGCGCTGTGATATGCCTGATAGGCGAGCGAATAGTGACCGAACATAAAGCATAGATCGCCCAAACGTCGTAACTGTAATTCCGGTGACTCCGCCGTGTAACTGGAACGTAAAGATGAAACAATTTTCAGAATTGTATCGCGGCGTACCTCTCGACGCGGTTTACTTAAGATAAGTTTGTTAAATAAAAATAGAAACAAAGAAAGATGGTCTCTTAAATAAAAACGACGAGGAACGATTCTCTCTTACATTACAGCGTTTGATGGCGAAGAACCTGGTGCACCAGGCTTATTTGTACCGAACCACCTTCTCGTAGCACTAAATAGCGATCTACTGACCCCCTTTTTATTCGAGATCACGTCGTTCAATAGGCCAATCTGCTTCTCTACGTAAGGCAACAGGCTTCGCAAACAGAATTCTGTTATCAACGCCCGTAATCTTTCTAGATCTTGAGTGGAGAGACGAGCACCGTGTTGAGCAACAACATAATTCGGAGAGTCCGCCCAAACATTTGTGTTTATCGGTGAGTTTGCAACAACAGATTGACCTTTGACATTGGTTGCAGCGATGAAATTCTGTGTTTTCTCATTGTCTGGGCTCAGCGGATGAATTGTGACCGGGACAGCTTCCTGCCCGACTTCGAGGTGCACATTCGTTGATTCGGATATCTCGGAAGAGAGACTGATTGTGTCGGCCAAATCCGGAGATGGCAACGCGCAGTTTTGTGGCGTCCCGGCTTGGCTTATTCTGTAGTGTAAAATAAAAGGATTATTATTTCACGAATCATGAATCTATATTCGTTGATCTATATACACATAATCCAAGAGGTATAGGAAAATAAATATACTTGTCGGATTCTGTAGTCAGCTCGCTCGGCATGGCAGACACTCCACCTGTATCCGCAGGTGTACGAGGGGAACTGTTTTGCTCGCTGCTGCCGGACAATTCCAAGTGCTTGGTCAGAAACTGACTCCAGGGATCAGGCAAGTGTGAATTATCATCTGAGAGACCTGGCGGCCTCGAGTTCATTTGTAATAGAAAACAGTTGTTAGCACCATAAATAGTCTTCATCTCTGTAAAAACTATTTCAGCTCTGAAAGATATAGAAATATATATATAAATTTATGCAAAACAGTTGTAAATTATCAATTTATTAGAATTTTGTTAGAGTAATATTCATACACATAATCAGATCTTATATTTAAAATTGTCTTAAGTTTATTTTTAGATACTGTATGGATTATTTCATTGTCTTCAGAGCATTTGAACTTAAAACGACCTTAAATATGAGATACTACAGTCCTTACTCTAAAGTCTCTTTTATTGACAAAAGTATCTTTGAATGTGATTAAAAGTCAATCTGAGAACATTTACAAGTTATATTTAGAGTGAAATACTTTTATCACTAAAAAGAAGTTCAACAAAGGTCTATGAATACTAGCTTTAGCAGTTTTGCAAACAGTAGGAAGAATGAATAATATAATAAACCTATATAAACAATTGTATCATGTGTACAATAATTATATTGTATATATACACTTACTTGTTTCTATCATCCTGAATAGCATCGTGGACCAAAATGTAATACCTAAGAGCGTTGTTGTTGAACCACTTGGGCAATTTGCCTGGTATACTTTGATGCAACTGTGCACCCATAGCCTGAATCTTCTCTAATGGACTATCCTCCGCTGTAGAAACAACTATCATGCATGCAAGCAAGTGTTTTGTGAACTCATGATCCGATGGGAACTGGACGCTTAGGAATGTCTCTCTCCATGCCTCAAACCAAGGGACAGATATAGGAATATCGAGTTCAGTCGTGCCGATACGAACGCTAGTCGTACGTTCACACAAGGCAGAACTGACTGCCTCATTCAGCAATTTTTTGGCAAGACTCGGCTCCGGTGGTCGTGCATTAATATCTTGTATGGAAAGCCGAAGATTCCTGATCGCTATAGTGTTCCCTTGAGGATCTTTGAAATGACCTAAATATAAATTAACGCGGGGATATGTAAATGGAAACAAAAAAAGACTCGTGCGTATAGGTTATATATACGTTGCACTGGGGTCGGTACTTGCGACCTCGGGGTTCGCCCGAGTGAATATTCGTTGGCATAAGGATCGCAGGAAACGCAAAGGAAATTCGGCTCACCTTCGGTATTCAGTTTGCAAAAAGGTTGTAGCAGTTCGACGAATGACAGATTATTCTTTTGACATGCGACGTCGGCTGCAGCCGAGCAGACTACGGCGATCTGCGGGGAAAAGGTGTTGCCGATAAACTCCCGCGGGGTTAACTTACATTGAGCCATGACTTTGTTCGGCTGCAAACCATCAAAATACGTGTATAACCCGTATCCACTCGCGCTCACAGCATCAGCGAACCGTTTTTCCTATCTCATTGACTCTGTGTGACTCAATCGGCGTGCCGTATCCTGCGGGATCACATTACCGCCACCCGTTATCTCGCGAGTGGTCGGCAAGCGACAAAACGACGACAGTACATTCCGATCGTGCAGTCGCCGAGATAAACATGTCTCATCCCCCGAACAGCTGTTTTCTTCCAAATATTCGCCTCTGAGTACTTGACGCGCGAGAATCGCGACCGAATATCACGTCGCGCCATGTGGCACATATTAGGTTTGTCGCGTTGCCTGCAATTTCTACACTTTTACACCTAACGCCCGATGCACACTGAACCTCTCTTCGAAAGAAGAAGTTTCATTGGATTTCGCTCATCACGTTTGGTGTGCAACAGGCATTAAGTGCAAAAATGTCAAAAGTGTAAGCAACGCGAACAAACCTCTATTATGGAGGATTCACATTATATTCGACATCTGATGTACAACGTTCGATATCCAATAGAAGAATAGCTTTCTAATAGAGAATTCAATTTTTCATTTGAAAGCTATTCTTTTATTGGATATTGAACATTAAATATTCTGTTTTGATTGATACATTTCTATCAATCTTCAGAAATGTACCAATCAAAACAAAGTATTTCCACCCAGCCAGCATCGTATGCCGCTGGCTTTAGTTAGTTCCGCAGTTTCCGCTACGAGCCGCCACCATCTACATCGACCAATTGCGGTAGTGATAGATTTAAAGTAGTGGTAGAACAATATAAAAAATGCGAAAAATTCGTCATCGATTTCTACTACTTGAAAGTGAAAGATCCACCTAACCTGTTGTTATCATGCTCAGTATACCTCTTATTTCTAGAGGTGGCTATCTTGCGTAGCTTGTTGCTACATAACCTCAATTTCGGACTTTGACAGTTCTCTTCACTATAATACGACATTTTTCAATCATAACAGTAATAACTCAGCTTGCAGCTTCGATTTCTCGATTGCAAATGTATATCCAATGAGTCGGCGCGAAATAACCTGAAATTATGGCGGAGGATCACGTTGCAACGCCTAAATCGAAGATCGAACGTACAAAGGTTAGTAACGAGGATAGAGAGGTGGACATTAGCCGTTACTTCAACGACGCGCCGCCGACGATCTTCGACGAGATCGTTGCACCCAAGAAGCCCGATTACTTCAACGTGCAGTCGGCCTCGGTGAGTCGCGTTTCAGATTACGCTTCCTTGCCCGACGGTGCGTCGAACATCCCTTTCTTTAACTCGGACGCCCTGCGAGCGTCCGCCACTTCTACGCTGCTCGAGCCCGTCGAACGAGCTATCGAGCATAGCGCGTCGAGTGACACGCATCGCGATGCCTGGGTACCATCGGAGCATACGCGAAAGATCCTGCGATCCATCGCGACCACCGCCGCCAGTAGCAACCATCTGGAGCGCGAGAATCTCACTATGCCGGGGTTGGCAGTGCACGGCGACATGCCCGACCCCATCAAGAACGCGTCCATCCATTTGCTTGGCGAGGACGAGAACATCCATAGAAACGTGCTTACCGCGTCCGACGTAACGCAGGACGAGCGTGGCTTGAGAAACTTGATTCAAGCCGGCTGCTATCACGCAGCTGTCAACCTATCCGGCAGGTTGCTAGCCATCTATGCTCAAGGCTACGGCAAGATCAACCAACCCAGCAAACACACTCCTCACTCGCTGCAACTCTGGTACACAAGACTGTCGCTGTTGGCCAAACTTAGGCAGCTGGAAGTGCTGGAGAACGAGTCCCAGCCGTTTGGCAATCTAGATAAACCCGACATGTACTTTAGGTCAGTCTTGGCTATTTATACACAAATTATCATAATCTACATTTACATGTAGACAATGTGAACTATGTATGAGATATCATCTGTGCAGGCAATGAGTAATCTATGGATATTGCTTAAATAACGTTTGGTTTATTCAAAAATTAATTGAAAAGTTTATATTTTCATTTAATCTTTAAAATCCTTATGCAAATTTATAAACGTTGTTTTCCACATGAGTTAAAGTCTACAAAATTCTCTGGTTCATATAAAAATAAAATATCAGTGAAATAAAAATTTTATGTAATTTGTTTTTTTTTAAATATATTTATGATTAATATTTATAACACACATAGATATAGTAATTTTCTTATAATTTGATTGCTCTTTTTTTGTGTATTTTAATATAATTTGCAATAGTTTGCACATAATTCACTGTGTCTACATGACAGATAATCGTATATATATCACATAAAAACTACAATCCGCATAGATGTAATTTTGAAATTTACGGCACAATCTTGCTTTAGGTTTTATCCGGAGTTATATGGCACGAGATCAGGCTCGATGGCATCGTTCGCGTTTCGACTGCTGCTTGCCGAGATCCCGTCTTACTGCGGTAAACCCAAACAGGCGTTAGACAATTTGTATAGGCTCCTCGTAACCGTCAATCAGATTATGGCGAACCTTCAGGCCGGTCTACACGGCGAAGGGACGCGGACGGTCACAAAGATCAGTGAGTCTGAGCAACGAGATGCCGTGCGACTGTGGACCGCCAGGAAGTCCAGAATCCTCGTTTCCATCGTCAACTGCGCGGTCGGCATGAAGAACTACATTCTCGCGATAGAAATCTTAGAGGATCTATGCAGGTTACCTGACTGGAGCGCAGAGCAGATGGGAATTCTATGGTCGGCTATAGGAAGAGTGCACTTGTTTCTCGGGGACGTCTCCGCGGCGGAGAAGTATCTCGTTCGTGATGGGAAAGAAGAGAAGACGTCGAGCGTCCGGGAGCTGGTGGACAGCGGACTGATGGCGGTCGCGCAGAACGCTTTCCAAGAGGCCTACAGTTGCTTTCAGTCCGCCTCGGCGATGGATCCGTCCAGTGTGATGTTGATTAATAACATGGCCGTGTGTCTGCTCTACACCGGCCAATTGAAGGCCGCCGTGCGATTATACGAGAGTCTCGTCAGTAGGAATCCCCTCAAAAGTCTGCAGGAGCCGATCCTATTGAACATGTGCACGTCCTACGAGTTGCACACTACGCACTGCAAGCAGACTAAGCTGCACCTGCTGCGCCAACTAAACAGATATAAGGGTGACGCGGCGGATATTCAGTGTCTGAAACTAGCAATGTGATGTTAGCACTGTGTACAATTGTTACTTGTTAATGTTAACAACTTGGAACGCGAGTTCCTGATTGTAATATGTTGTAGCTAAATTCGCGCGGTAAGGTGAATCGTCCTCGCCACCGCACACACATACACACTGAGCAGTTGATTTCGATGGCATTACGCTGAGTTATTTATTGCTTAGTTTTCTTTCTTCTCCGTTTGATGCGACCGCGCACGAGCTCGAGTCGCAAAGCGTTCAGCCTCAGGGAAGGTGTAATCGTTGTGATATATTGAGAGAGAATAAAAGTATAATGTTCAGTTACACGAATGCCTGTGTATAAATTCTTTCTTTCAGCTCCAACTCTCATCGCGTCGCGTCGCTGTCTCTTTTCTGCATCTGTCTCGTTCGCAGTATTCCTGGATCCGCAGTTATTGCGGATCCAGGACGATTTTTCAAGGATCGTGCGCAGACACAAGAGATACAAAAGCAAACGCAGCAGGCAAGAAACATAACACTGGAACGTCAAAGTAAAATAGCCTTTATTACATCGTGAAACGAGGACAATTTAACGAACGTTCAACAATTGCTATAGTTTTCTCTCCTCCTCACACTCACTCTCGCTCTCTCGCTCTCGCCGGCACACGTGTCGCTGAACACGTATGCGTTTAACCGCGCATTTTTCGTCTTTCTTCACTTCTCGGTTTCTGTGGTTTTTTTATTACTTTTTTTTATTCGAAAGAATACGAGTGCCGCAGCGTAGTCCGAAAATATATATTATGTAATAATCGGATGTCTTTACGCTTTTTTCTTGGTTTTTTTTTTGGTTTTGCATTTAGCACGCGTGCCTCTCCCTTCAATCGATCTTATTCGCGCGTCGGTTCATCGCGTTTCCAATCGCTTCTTATTGTTTCCTCGTTTTCCTCTTTTCATCTTCTCTCTATCGCTTATTTCTTCTTACTTTTTATTCTTTAAACTAGCTAATTTATTCTTTCGCTCTTGCTCTCTTATTATCGCGCGATCGCATTACATCGTAGCACATATTAGATCGGATTCCAAAACTGCACACTCTCTCTTTCTTTCTCTCTCCCTGCAGAAAAAAAGGCACGAACTGGCGGAAAAGTCGGCCTAACTGTATAATATTTTCATTTATTTATTATGGATGGAACTTCGTGTCACAATACATTATTTTATTTCCTCTCTTTTCCCCACCGTCGTCCCATTGGCCTCACGGCGGTTTCGGCCCGTTAAATCGTTAGTGCCGCGAAAGTTCAACGATGTAGTGTACGTAGCGCAAGATTCTCCGCGTGTCGATTAATTCGCGACTTACTACAATTACTTAATTTGCGTGTCATTACGTCTATTTCGAATGCCCATTGTCGACTATCAGATACGACTGAATCGCCCCTTTCATTATACTAATACATTAGATAAAAGTAAGGCGTTCTTCATTTCGAATGCTTCTGCCAAATTTGATTATTTTTGAATTAATATCGAGCATGTCGAAATATATATAAATTCTTATATAGCTATAACACTGTAGTTACATACGTACTATAGTTATTCGAATCAGAATAATAATTAGGACGTGCCTAAAATCAATTCGCGTTTTCCGCGGAAATCTTAGGACACTACTTTTTAAAAATATAAAATAATCTTTTTCAGATTAATACTGCAATTCTAGACAAAATCGTAAAGCTCGTAACTTGTTCTTGTAAGACTCGTAAGAACTTATGAGTAGATGATTGATACGTAAGCTACGATTTTACGATTTACTCGTATGTTTGCTTAGAATTGCAGTATAAGTCGTATAGTTAAAGAGAGTTCATGTTGGGTATTTTGTAGAATTTTAATACTAATTTAATACTAAATATTTTGGACAAAATAATGTTCATTCATTGATGTCTAAAGAAAAAGAAAGATAATAATAATAATAAAATACAATCAAGGTGTAAGATCTTAAAAACTGATAGAAACGTGTTAGCCTGATAGGAAAATTAAAAAAAAATATATATTTTTTAAAGACAAATCTGAATAGTCGCATTTCTTCTTATCAACTGTTTTTAAATTCTTTTTTTTTTTAAAAGATACTACTTATGCTGTAGTATTGTTGTGTTCAAAAGATCAAAGTTATGAAATATTGCTGACACAACGATATAACAATTTGGAGCGCGTCTAACGCGATGAAAATTGTTTAGGAAATATGACAAATTTGATTACCGCGTAATCGAATATATAGCTCGTTCTTGTTTTATCATTAGATTATGCATTAATTACAAAGTAATATCTTGTATGAAACTTGCGCTACGAACGCTGCATCGTCAAGAAAAAAACCTTCAAATTGCCTCTTTCTCTTTCTTCTCTCTTTCTTTCACTCACACTTTCTCTCTCTCTCGTTCGAATACGTTCACACACTTTGTCGTATTATAATAATATTCACATCGCTATTTTTGGCGATTAAATGTAAATTTTGTGTGTATATATATATATATATAATATATGTTTTTAATATATAATATATATACACACAATCGTGTGTATGTGTGTGTGTGTATATATATATACAGGCACACACATATACGTTAATTTTTATATATAGTAAATTTATCTTTTTATACGTCTACAATATATTTATATATATATATATATATATATAT